AAAATTGAATTAAAAAAATACACAAATAAAAACTTTTAAATAGTTAATTTGATACTAATATTGATATATAATTTTGCAAATTTTATATGATATTTTTAATTTTATATTTTATTCAAAAATAAAAACATTATCGTTTTCTTAAAACCACATAAAATCGTAAAATATCGATATAGATAAAAAATAAAACGAAACATTGAAATCGAAATGTGTCTCGATGCATAGCACAAGTACCCTTCAAGTACTTAATTATTATCTTTATAAAAAATTATATTATAAAACCAAAAAATAAATTATTTCGTCATTAGTCCTAAATTAGATTATAAATAAAAAAATTGAATTAAATAAATTACACAAAAAAATGTTAAATAATTAATTTGATATTAATTTTGATTTTTTTCGATTTTTTTTGATATTAAAATTAATATTTTATTCAAAAATAAAAATGTTATCAGTTTCTCAAAAACACATAAAACTTTATTATAATATCTTTGTGGACAAAGAATAAAAACAAAACATTAAAATCGAGATTTATCTTGCTGCATTGCACGAGTACTCTTCTACTCTGTGTGTGTGTGTGTGTGTTGGGAGGTTTACTTTACAAACCATTCATTTCATACAAAATATATAAATTAGCATCAATTAATAGCATAATTCTATTTTTTTTCTTTATTTTTAATGCATAAGGATATGTTTGTCCTTTGGTTTTATAATAGATAATTTTTTGTAATATTTTAATTGTGTCTAAATCTGGAAAATTATATATATCAGAGGTTTCTTAGAAAACAATCTATCAATTTGTTTTTAATAGATACTTACCACCATTAATATTTTATATTTTTTATTAAACAAAAATAATCTGTCAATTTCAAAGTCTATTTATAATCATTTTTTGTTAAGAATTTATTTATTTCATTTTCATAATAACAAAATGTAACACCCCCGTCTCGCGTGGTCAAAGACAGGAGATGCCACAATTAGGATAAAAAAAACGCGCTATATAAAACAGAGCAGCTAATAACATTTACGAAAAGATAATTACATAACCATAGACGGAGATAACGTGTCTCAAAATACGGTTTCAAAATACCAGTATGTCTACATTAGTCATTAAAAGTTTAACAAAAGTATGACTTAATGAGTTATCTTCAATATTGTCATCTCCATAGCTCTCATCCCAAAATCCCTGCTAAGTCATGTACCTGTCGAGGACAAGAAAATCTCGGCTGAGCTTAATGCTCAGTGAACGGATAATAATAATTAAACAATGAATATGAGATAACAAGTTCAAAAGCAATTTATAAAGCCAAGTGATAATTCAAAAG